AATAATTTTATATTAATTGAAAAGTAGTTAATTTAAAAAAATCATAACTTCTGTATTTATGAAGATGGAGGATTGATTCTTATCTTAAATTAAAGCTGAAGATGTCTTCTTTCGAAACATGTATAATGCTTAAAACGTTTATATAAAAGAATTTTGAGAAAAAGATTAATAATTTTTATTAAATAACTTTACATCGATTGAAAAATGGTTAATTTAAAAAAATCAGAACTTCTGTATTTATGAAGATGGAGAATTGATTTATATCTCAAATTAAAGCTGAAGATGTCTTCTTTCGAAACGTCTATAATGTTTAAAAAGTTTATATAAAAAAATTTTGAGAAAAAGATTAATAATTTTAATTATATAATTTTATGTCAATTGAAAAGTAGTTAATTTAAAAAAATCATAACTTCTGTGTTTATGAAGATGGAGGATTGATTCTTATCTTAAATTAAAGCTGAAGATGTCTTCTTTCGAAACATGTATAATGTTTAAAAAGTTTATATAAAAAAATTTTGAGAAAAAGGTTAATAATTTTTATTAGATAACTTTACATCGATTGACAAATGGTTAATTTAAAAAAAAATCATAACTTCTTTATTTATGAAGATGGAGGATTGATTCTTATCTTAAATTAAAGCTGAAGATGTCTTCTTTCGAAACATGTATAATGTTTAAAAAGTTTATATAAAAAAATTTTAGAAAAAAATTAATAATTTTTATTAGATAACTTTACATCGATTGAAAAATGGTTAATAAAAAAAAATCATAACTTCTTTACTTATGAAAATGGAGAATTGATTTATATCTCAAATTAAAGCTGAAGATGTCTTCTTTCGAAACATGTATAATGTTTAAAACGTTTATATAAAAAAATTTTGAGAAAAAGATTAATAATTTTTATTAAATAATTTTATATCAATTGAAAAGTAGTTAACTTAAAAAAATCATAACTTCTGTATTTATGAAGATGGAGAATTGATTCATATCTCAAATTAACGCTGAAGATGTCTTCTTTCGAATCATGTATAATGTTTAAAAAGTTTATATAAAAAAATTTTGAGAAAAAAATTAAATTATTAATTTTTTTATCGATTGTAAAGTAATTAATTTAAAAAATCATAATTTCTTTGTTTATGAAGATAGATTTATGAAAATTATAATAAAATAGCGTTTAAAAAAAAACTTGCAAAATTAGGTTATGATCGATTTTTTAAAAACAACAAAAACTTTCAAGAAGCATATCTTCGTTATTTTTGGCGCAAAAGAGACGATTTATATCTTAAATTGAAGCCGATTCATTCTAGTTTATGATTGTGTTAATAAATATTGGGGTTTGATAATAAAAATTATGAGAATTTAAAANCTTTACATCGATTGAAAAATGGTTAATTTTAAAAAATCATAACTCCTTTATTTATGAAGATGGAGAATTGATTTATATCTCAAATTAAAGCTGAATATGTCTTCTTTCGAAACACGTATAATGTTTAAAAACTTTATATAAAAAAATTTTGAGAAAAAGATTAATAATTTTAATTATATAATTTTATATCAATTGAAAAGTAGTTAATTTAAAAAAATCATAACTTCTGTATTTATGAAGATGGAGGATTGATTCTTATCTTAAATTAAAGCTGAAGATGTCTTCTTTCGAAACATGTATAATGTTTAAAAAGTTTATATAAAAAAATTTTGAGAAAAAGGTTAATAATTTTTATTAGATAACTTTACATCGATTGACAAATGGTTAATTTAAAAAAAAATCATAACTTCTTTATTTATGAAGATGGAGGATTGATTCATACCTCAAATTACAGCTGAAGAGGTCTTCTTTCGAAACATGTATAATGTTTAAAAAGTTTATATAAAAAAATTTTGAGAAAATGATTAATAATTTTTATTAGATAACTTTACATCGATTTACAAATGGTTAATTTTACAGAAATCATAATTTCTTTACTTATAAAGATGGAGAATTGATTTATATCTTAAATTAAAGATGTCTTCTTTCGAAACATGTATAATGTTCAAAATGTTTATAAAAAAATTTTGAGAAAGAGATTAATAATTTTAATTAAATAATTTTATATCAATTGAAAAGTAGTTAATTTAAAAAAATCATAACTTCTGTATTTATGAAGATGGAGAATTGATTCATATCTCAAATTAAAGCTGAAGATGTCTTCTTTCGAAACATGTATAATGTTTAAAATGTTTATATAAAAAAATTTTGAGAAAAAATCTAATAATAACTTTACATCGATTGAAAAATGGTTAATTTTAAAAAATCATAACTCCTTTATTTATGAAGATGGAGAATTGATTTATATCTCAAATTAAAGCTGAATATGTCTTCTTTCGAAACACGTATAATGTTTAAAAAGTTTATATAAAAAAATTTTGAGAAAAAGATTAATAATTTTAATTATATAATTTTATGTCAATTGAAAAGTAGTTAATTTAAAAAAATCATAACTTCTGTGTTTATGAAGATGGAGGATTGATTCTTATCTTAAATTAAAGCTGAAGATGTCTTCTTTCGAAACATGTATAATGTTTAAAAAGTTTATATAAAAAAATTTTGAGAAAAAGGTTAATAATTTTTATTAGATAACTTTACATCGATTGACAAATGGTTAATTTAAAAAAAAATCATAACTTCTTTATTTATGAAGATGGAGGATTGATTCATACCTCAAATTACAGCTGAAGAGGTCTTCTTTCGAAACATGTATAATGTTTAAAAAGTTTATATAAAAAAATTTTGAGAAAATGATTAATAATTTTTATTAGATAACTTTACATCGATTTACAAATGGTTAATTTTACAGAAATCATAATTTCTTTACTTATAAAGATGGAGAATTGATTTATATCTTAAATTAAAGATGTCTTCTTTCGAAACATGTATAATGTTCAAAATGTTTATAAAAAAATTTTGAGAAAGAGATTAATAATTTTAATTAAATAATTTTATATCAATTGAAAAGTAGTTAATTTAAAAAAATCATAACTTCTGTATTTATGAAGATGGAGAATTGATTCATATCTCAAATTAAAGCTGAAGATGCCTTCTTTCGAAACAAGTATAATGTTTAAAAAGTTTATATAAAAAAATTCTTAAAAAAAGGTTAATAATTTTTATTAGATAACTTTACATCGATTGAAAAATGGTTAATTTTAAAAAAAATCATAACTTCTTTACTTATGAAGATGGAGAATTGATTTATATCTCAAATTAAAGCTGAAGATGTCTTCTTTCGAATCATGTATAATGTTTAAAACGTTTATATAAAAAATTTTGAGAAAAAGATTAATAATTTTTATTAGACAACTTTACATCGATTGACAAATGGTTAATTTAAAAAAATCGTAACTTCTGTATTTATGAAGATGGAGAATTAATTCATATCTCAAATTAAAGCTGCAGATGTCTTCTTTCGAAACAGGTATAATGTTTAAAAAGTTTATATAAAAAATTTTGAGAAAAATATTAATATATAATTTGTATTAGGTAACTTTACATCGATTGAAAAATGATTAATTTAAAAAAAATCAAAACTTCTTTATTTATGAAGATGGAGAATTAATTCATCTCTTAAATTAAAGCTGAAGATGTCTTCTTTCGAAACATGTATAATGTTTAAAATGTTTATATAAAAAAATTTTGAGAAAAAGATTAATAATTTTTATTAAATAACTTTACATCGATTGAAAAATGGTTAATTTTAAATAATCATAACTTCTTTATTTATGAAGATGGAGAATTGATTTATATCTCAAATTAAAGCTGAAGATGTCTTCTTTCGAAACATGTATAATGTTTAAAATGTTTATATAAAAAAATTTTGAGAAAAAATCTAATAATAACTTTACATCGATTGAAAAATGGTTAATTTTAAAAAATCATAACTCCTTTATTTATGAAGATGGAGAATTGATTTATATCTCAAATTAAAGCTGAAGATGTCTTCTTNGTTCTAGTTTATGATTGTGTTAATAAATATTGGGGTTTGATAATAAAAATTATGAGAATTTAAAAAAAAAACGTTCAAAGCTAGGTTATGATCGATTTTTTAAAAACAACAAAAACTTTCAATAATCATATCTTCGTTATTTTTGGAGCAAAAGAGACGATTTATATCTTAAATTAAAGCTGATTTATTCTAGTTTTCGATTGTGTTAATAAATATTGGGGTTTGATAATAAAAATTATGAGAATTAAAAAAAAACGTTCAAAGTTAGGTTATGATCGATTTTTTAAAAGTACAAAATTTTAATAATCATATCTTCGTTATTTTTGGAGCAAAAGAGACGATTTATATCTTAAATTGAAGCCGAAACATTCTAGTTTATGATTGTGTTAATAAATATTGGGGTTTGATAATAAAAATTATGAGAATTTAAAAAAAAAAGTTCAAAGTTAGGTTATGATCGATTTTTTAAAAACAACAAAAACTTCCAATAAACATATCTTCGTTATTTTTGGCGCAAAAGAGACGATTTATATCTTAAATTAAAGCCGATTCATTCTAGTTTACGATTGTGTTAATAAATATTGGGGTTTCATAATAAAAATTATGAGAATTTAAAAAAAAACCGTTCAAAGTTAGGTTATGGTCGATTTTTTAAAAACAACAAAAACTTTCAATAATCATATCTTCGTTATTTTTGGAGCAAAAGAGACGATTTATATCTTAAATTGAAGCCGATTCGTTCTAGTTTGCGATTGTGTTAATAAATATTGGGGTTTGATAATAAAAATTATGAGAATTTAAAAAAAACGTTCAAAGTTAGGTTATGATCGATTTTTTAAAAACAACAAAAACTTTCAATGATCATATCTTCGTTATTTTTGGCGCAAAAGAGACGATTTATATCTTAAATTGAAGCCGAGACATTCTAGTTTATGATTGTACTACTAAATATTCGGGTTTGATAATAAAAATTATGAGAAAATAGCGCTTAAAAAAAAAATGTTCAATAAATGTAACAAATTGAACTGCTTTATCATTATTTATTAATTATTCCTTTAGGTTACACACCATGAATACCTGACAAATTTATATTAATAATAAAAAAATGAACTCCTAAAAAAATTATGACAAAAAAGTTTTAATCTACTTCTTCTTCTCATCCTTATCATCCTTCTTTTTCTCCTTCAAGTTCCCAACAGCTTGTCGAATCGTCTCCGATTGTGGATCAACCCCTGGTAGATTTTCCAAAACGCTTTGGAGAAAAGCCGGATCATTCATCACCTCAGAATAATCCTCATCACCCTCGACATCCATAGCTTCCTCCTTTTTACTACCAGAGGTAGTTTCTTCTAACAAAAAATAAAAAATTAATTAATAATTTTATTAAAATTATTAAAACAAAAAAAAATTACGAGCATCTTGCATCGACATCTGCATTGCAAAAGCAATTTGCTCATCCTCCGTCATATTTGCAAAATCAACAGCCGGTTGATTAACAGCCCCTTGTTCCATCGACATCGCCAAAGCTTTCTCCAACAAAGCCTCCTCGGTCGGTTCTTCTTTAATCGCGGCCGTTTCAACCGTCCCATCGGCCGCGGAAGCTTCGCGAGCTTTACGCGCCTCTTCTTCTTGTCTTTGACGCTGCTCCTCCATAGAAACGCGAAGCGCCAAAGCTAATTCAGGATCTTCATTGGGATCAACACCAAATTCAAAGCCACAGGCTCCAGAAGCGCCTGTTCCATCCTCTCCTTGAATCACCGGGGACGAAATTAAAGCGTCTGATAAATGGGGACCTGGAGGAACTGTTACTAAATGACTCCCAGATCCATCCTAATATTCAATTAATTATTTTAATGTATTGTTAACTTATTTTAATTTATTATTTAATCTTACATTTCCTACCTTTCCATTTAAAGTACTTATAAATGAAGTTAACACCTCATTATTAATTGAATCCTCACCAAAACTAATTATATCAACATTTACTTTCTCTTTTTTTAATTTTTTAGCTAATTTAACCAATTCTTTTTCTTCTGCAGCTACCGGACTTCCAACAAAAGCTACAATACGCATTTTATGATTCTTTCCTTGTCTGTGCTTTAAAGCTAACTAAAATAATTCACTTTATAAATCAATTTAAGATTAAAATTAAGTCATACATGAGCAATTCTTATCCCAGTGTGGAGATTTATGTTTCCATCTGGTTGTACTTGGTGTAATTTCGACAAAATCCTCCCAACATCGCTTGTTAATGTGGCTAATACCTCCACACTAAAACATAATCGATTTTAATCGATTTAATTACCTTTTAATTTACATCTTACTTTGCTAAGGTGAGAAGTCCCACATTATTCTCTGGATTAGATCGAGTTTTCGAATGGCAAACGAGATTTACAGCATCTTGTTGCGCTTGGAGTCTCGTCGGTAAGAAATCCCCATTTCGCATATAATCGCTGTTGTCCACGCTAAAAGAATGAGATTTCTTGCAATGTCATCGAAATTTTTTAGGTTATGTTGGTTAAAAATGCTAATATTAACTTTATTTGGTAAATAAATCGATGATAATTAATACGAATCGATCTTACCATATCATAGTACTCTCCAAAACCATTTTTGTGATTTTCTTTTAATTTTTTTAGACGAAAATTACGATTTTCTTGCGAACGCAACGATTTTTGTTATGATTTTGATGTGACATGGGGGAAATTTTTATTTAGTACCAACCTAAAAATTTATTTCGTTATTTAATTATTATTTATAATAAAAATCGTTTTAGTACTTAATTAATAATCATATTAATTAATTTTTTGGAGGGAATTAAATTTTATCGTTTAAAAAAATTTTTATTAAATTGATTAAATTTGATCTGTCATTTTTTGACACAACATAACCTAAAACGCAGAACATTAATGTTTTGTGATTAAATTATTATTATTACAGTAAAATTTAATTAGCCCTGTGGTAAGATATAAATTTATAATATTCATCAATCATAACCTATTTTTTTTTTTTTAAATTTATAGGTTAAAATGTCTTCTTATCCGTTATTTCCGAAATTAACCCCTAAATTAATCGACCCCGCTTGGTTTGGGATGGATAAATCGTTCGATGAAGACGCTGAGGTGACCCAATTGGAACAGGAGCATCAAAAATGGGTAAATAATTATTTATAACAAAATTAAAGTTATTATTTCTTCAGGTATAGTTTTATCAATTTTCTCATAATTTTTATTATCAAACCCTAATATTTATTAACACAATCGTAAACTAGAATAAATCGGCTTTAATTTGAGATATAAATCGTCTCTTTTGCGCCAAAAATAACGAAGATATGATTCAAGGTCCCTTGAGTAAACATACAATTTATGAGCGACCTTGCTATGACGTCATTGGAAGAATTGACATTTCTATGTTTTTTTTTTTATACAGTGTATTTCACTTAAGAAGCAATATACAAAAATATAAAAATTAAAAAAATATTAAAATATAAAGCGAAATATTAACGGTTATAATTTTATTATTGTTAGGTTATCCAACTTGACTTGGTTACCATGGTGATTAAAATCCAAAATGGCAGGTGGTTGTCAAAATTGAAATTGAATTTAAGTTTTTTTAAGGAAAAAGTTTTATTTAATTGGTTTAAAAGGCTGTATTTAACTCAAAATTGGTTTATCTAGGGTATTATAAACAAGCTAAGTGGATTAAATCAAAAAAAGATATTTTTAATTTATTTCTCTTAATTAGAATTGATTTAAATTAACTACAATTAACGAATTTGTTGTGAATGCGAGATAATCGCAAAGAATTCGAATTGTTTTAAAATTAATAAAAATTAAGTTAGAATTGATAAAAAAGATCAGAATAAAATATTGTTATTTTAAGGTTATCCAACTTGACTCGGTTACCATGGTGATTAAGATCCAAATATTGCAGTTGCTTGTCAAAATTGACGTTGAATTTAAGTTTTTTTAATGAAAAACACATAATTAATTGGATTTAAAGGTTGTATTTAATTCAAAATGGGTAAACACCATGACAAACTAGAAAGTTTTAGGTTTTAAATAACTTTCTGTTGTCAATGTCAACTTTAAATACTTTTAAAGTGAGTCCAAACTTGACGCATTTATCTCAAAAAACCATTTCTAACCGGAAGTTGACCATAACTTCATTAATATTAAAGATAAATATGTCGTGTTTGTACTCATTTTAAAGGACGCATTTATATCAAAAAATCAAAAAGTTCGAACTTTCAACTTTTAATTTTGACATATTTGTCAACTTCATAAAAAATCCTTTAAGATGAGTCCAAACTCGACATATCTAACATTAATATTAATGGAAATACAATCACTTCCGGTTTGAAACGTCAACGTCAATTTTGGCATATTTGTCACCTTCATTAAAAATCCTTTAAAATGAGTCCAAACATGACGCACTTATCTCAAAAAACAAAAAAGTTTGAATAAAAAACGTTAAACCCGAAGTTAGCAACAATAAAGATAGCAATTTAATTTTTAAATATTAATACCAACCTTAATTTTTTATACTTTTTTTTATATTTTTGTTTTTGTGACAAATATTAAGACATTTTATAAAAATTAAGAATATGTCAAAATGACATTGACATTTCAAACCGGAAGTTGCTTATATCTCGACTAATATTGGAATTAAACGTATCATGTTTGGGCTTATTTTAAAGGATTTTTCACGACAATTACAATTATGTCAAAATTGACATTGACATTCTAACCGGAAGTTGACCATAACTTCATTAATATTGAAGATAAATATGTCGTGTTTGTACTCATTTTAAAGGATTTTTAATGAAGATTACAAATATGTCAAAATTGAGGTTGACTTTTTAAATTTGAAGTTAGTTATCATATAATAGACAAATGGACAACTTCATGGTGTTCTTTCATGATGTATTCTTTATTAAAAAACCTTTAAAATGAGTCCAAACATGACGCATTTATCTCAAAAAACCAAAAAGTTCGAACTTTCAACTTTTAATTTTGACATATTTGTCAACTTCATAAAAAATCCTTTAAAATGAGTCCAAACTCGACATATTTAACTTTAATATTAATGGAAATACAATCACTTCCGGTTTGAAACGTCAACGTCAATTTTGACATATTTGTCATCTTCATTAAAAAACCTTTAAAATGAGTCCAAACATGACGCATTTATCTCAAAAAACCAAAAAGTTCGAACTTTCAACTTTTAATTTTGACATATTTGTCAACTTCATAAAAAATCCTTTAAAATGAGTCCAAACTCGACATATTTAACTTTAATATTAATGGAAATACAATCACTTCCGGTTTGAAACGTCAACGTCAATTTTGACATATTTGTCATCTTCATTAAAAAACCTTTAAAATGAGTCCAAACATGACGCATTTATCTCAAAAAACCAAAAAGTTCGAACTTTCAACTTTTAATTTTGACATATTTGTCAACTTCATAAAAAATCCTTTAAAATGAGTCCAAACTCGACATATTTAACTTTAATATTAATGGAAATACAATCACTTCCGGTTTGAAACGTCAACGTCAATTTTGACATATTTGTCATCTTCATTAAAAAACCTTTAAAATGAGTCCAAACATGACGCATTTATCTCAAAAAACCAAAAAGTTCGAACTTTCAACTTTTAATTTTGACATATTTGTCAACTTCATAAAAAATCCTTTAAAATGAGTCCAAACTCGACATATTTAACTTTAATATTAATGGAAATACAATCACTTCCGGTTTGAAACGTCAACGTCAATTTTGACATATTTGTCATCTTCATTAAAAAACCTTTAAAATGAGTCCAAACATGACGCATTTATCTCAAAAAACCAAAAAGTTCGAACTTTCAACTTTTAATTTTGACATATTTGTCAACTTCATAAAAAATCCTTTAAAATGAGTCCAAACTCGACATATTTAACTTTAATATTAATGGAAATACAATCACTTCCGGTTTGAAACGTCAACGTCAATTTTGACATATTTGTCATCTTCATTAAAAAACCTTTAAAATGAGTCCAAACATGACGCATTTATCTCAAAAAACCAAAAAGTTCGAACTTTCAACTTTTAATTTTGACATATTTGTCAACTTCATAAAAAATCCTTTAAAATGAGTCCAAACTCGACATATTTAACTTTAATATTAATGGAAATACAATCACTTCCGGTTTGAAACGTCAACGTCAATTTTGACATATTTGTCATCTTCATTAAAAAACCTTTAAAATGAGTCCAAACATGACGCATTTATCTCAAAAAACCAAAAAGTTCGAACTTTCAACTTTTAATTTTGACATATTTGTCAACTTCATAAAAAATCCTTTAAAATGAGTCCAAACTCGACATATTTAACTTTAATATTAATGGAAATACAATCACTTCCGGTTTGAAACGTCAACGTCAATTTTGACATATTTGTCATCTTCATTAAAAAACCTTTAAAATGAGTCCAAACATGACGCATTTATCTCAAAAAACCAAAAAGTTCGAACTTTCAACTTTTAATTTTGACATATTTGTCAACTTCATAAAAAATCCTTTAAAATGAGTCCAAACTCGACATATTTAACTTTAATATTAATGGAAATACAATCACTTCCGGTTTGAAACGTCAACGTCAATTTTGACATATTTGTCATCTTCATTAAAAAACCTTTAAAATGAGTCCAAAGATGACGCACTTATCTCAAAAAACAAAAAAGTTAGAATAAAAAACATTAAACCCGAAGTTAGCAACAATGAAGATAGCAATTTAATTTTTAAATATTAATACCAACCTTAATTTTTTATTTTTTTTTATTATATTTTTGTTTTTGTGACAAATATTAAGACATTTTATAAAAATTAAGAATATGTCAAAATGACATTGACATTTCAAACCGGAAGTTGCTTATATCTCGAGTAATATTGGAATTAAACGTATCATGTTTGGACTCATTTTAAAGGATTTTTCACGACGATTACAAATATGTCAAAATTGACGTTGACATTCTTAACCGGAAGTTGACCATAACTTCATTAATATTGAAGATAAATATGTCGTGTTTGTACTCATTTTAAAGGATTTTTAATGAAGATTACAAATATGTCAAAATTGAGGTTGACATTTTAAACCTGAAGTTAGTTATCATATAATAGACAAATGGACAACTTCATGGTGTTCTTTCATGATGTATTCTTTATTAAAAAAACCTTTAAAATGTGTCCAAACATGACGCATTTATCTCAAAAAACCAAAAAGTTCGAACTTTCAACTTTTAATTTTGACATATTTGTCAACTTCATAAAAAATCCTTTAAAATGAGTCCAAACTCGACATATTTAACTTTAATATTAATGGAAATACAATCACTTCCGGTTTGAAACGTCAACGTCAATTTTGACATATTTGTCATCTTCATTAAAAAACCTTTAAAATGAGTCCAAAGATGACGCACTTATCTCAAAAAACAAAAAAGTTAGAATAAAAAACATTAAACCCGAAGTTAGCAACAATGAAGATAGCAATTTAATTTTTAAATATTAATACCAACCTTAATTTTTTATTTTTTTTTATTATATTTTTGTTTTTGTGACAAATATTAAGACATTTTATAAAAATTAAGAATATGTCAAAATGACATTGACATTTCAAACCGGAAGTTGCTTATATCTCGAGTAATATTGGAATTAAACGTATCATGTTTGGGCTCATTTTAAAGGATTTTTCACGACAATTACAAATGTGTCAAAATTGACGTTGACATTTCTAACCGGAAGTTGACCATAACTTCATTAATACTGGAGATAAATATGTCGTGTTTGTACTCATTTTAAAGGATTTTTAATGAAGATTACAAATATGTCAAAATTGAGGTTGACATTTTAAATTTGAAGTTAGTTATCATATAATAGACAAATGGATAACTTCATGGTGTTCTTTTATGATGTATTCTTTATTAAAAAACCTTTAAAATAGCAACCTTAATTTTTGTTTTTTTTTTTATTTTTTTGTTTTTGTGACAAATATTAAGACATTTTATAAAAATTAAGAATATGTCAAAATGACATTGACTATTGAAACCGGAAGTTGCTTATATCTCGAGTAATATTGGAATTAAACGTATCATGTTTGGGCTTATTTTAAAGGATTTTTCACGACAATTACAAATGTCTCAAAATTGACGTTGACATTTCTAACCGGAAGTTGACCACAACTTCATTAATATTTAAGATAAATATGTCGTGTTTGTACTCATTTTAAAGGATTTATAATGAAGATTACAAATGTGTCAAAATTGAGGTTGACATTTTAAATCTGAAGATAGTTATCATATAATAGACAAATGGACAACTTCATGGTGTTTTTTCATGATGTATTCTTTATTAAAAAACCTTTAAAATGAGTCCAAACACGACGCATTTATCTCAAAAAACAAAAAAGTTAGAATAAAAAAACGTTAAACCCGAAGTTAGCAACAATAAAGATAGCAATTTAATTTTTAAATATTAATACCAACCGTAATTTTTTATTTTTTTATTTTTGTGACAAATATTAAGACATTTTATAAAAATTAAGAATATGTCAAAATGACATTGACATTTCAAACCGGAAGTTGCTTATATCTCGACTAATATTGGAATTAAACGTATCATGTTTGGGCTTATTTTAAAGGATTTTTCACGACAATTACAAATGTGTCAAAATTGACGTTGACATTTCTAACCGGAAGTTGACCATAACTTCATTAATATTGGAGATAAATATGTCGTGTTTGCACTCATTTTAAAGGATTTTTAATGAAGATTACAAATATGTCAAAATTGAGGTTGACGTGCACTTATCTCAAAAAACAAAAAAGTTTGAATAAAAAACGTTAAACCCGAAGTTAGCAACAATAAAGATAGCAATTTAATTTTTAAATATAATACCAACCTTAATTTTTAATTTTTTTTATTGTATTTTTGTTTTTGTGATAAATTTTAAGACATATTATAAAAATTAAGAATATGTCAAAATGACATTGACATTTCAAACCGGAAGTTGCTTATATCTCGATTAATATTGGAATTAAACGTATCATGTTTGGGCTCATTTTAAAGGATTTTTCACGACAATCACAAATGTGTCAAAATTGACGTTGACATTTCTAACCGGAAGTTGACCATAACTTTATTAATACTGGAGATAAATATGTCGTGTTTGTACTCATTTTAAAGGATTTTTAATGAATATTACAAAATTCTCATAATTTTCATTATCAAATCGCAATATTTAGTAACACAATCGTAAATTAGAATGAATCGGCTTCGATTTAAGATATAAATCGTCTTTTTATATATTTTTTAGATATGATTATTGAAATTTTTTGATTAAAAAATTAATTTTTTTAGCTTAGTTCGATAGCACAACGTTACAGCAATGTAACCCCGATTGGAAAATCAGCTTCTGAGGTAAACAATGACGTTTAATTACTTTTAGTTGATTATTTAGTTACGTTTTAGAATCTCGAGGAGGATGAGGAGGAGGACGACGAAGATGATAACGAGGATGACGAAGAATCTGAAAGCTTAGACGGCGATGATGAGGATGAGATTGAAATGGATATGTCTCAGGCGGAGAGTAATTCCCCTATGGTTGGAATGTAATTTGTATTAATAATATTTTGCTTTATTTATTGGTTGAGTCGTTTAATGGAATCAAAATCAATCTTTTTCATGTTTTCATCGCCCCACCCCCAAATATTATCACTCATAACTAAATCATCTAAATTCTTTTCCATCACCAATTTAGTTCCATCTCCAGTTCTTAAAATCCTTCGTTTAACCATATCAGAAGAGACAGTTTTGAGATCCCTAGCCCATCCTAACCACGCGAAAAAGTCTATAAAGGCTATTGTTAAATTTGGGGCGTAATCCCCGTATTCCGAGGCTTTATAATCCCATGGAAAAGTGTGGTGGTAATTGTGCCAACCTTCCCCCATCGCTAAATACCCCACATATTTATTTTCTGTTGGCCTAATGTTCCTAAAACAATTAAATTAAAATTAACTTAGTATTAATTAATATGCCAAGTCTTACTTGTCATAAGGTTTGGTTCCATAGGCATGTGCAGCACTGTTAATAAGAAATATGCTGTGTAAACTCCAAAGATATCGGGCAACTCCCGCGAAATAATACGAAACTTCCCCAGATTCGCCCCAAAAATACCACGGAATTACCGAAGGTATCACAAAGGTAAAAATCGGCATCAAAATGGTGAAATATTTCTTTTGGAACATAACCACCCCATCGTTTTTTAAATCGCTTAAATCGATTTGGTTCCCTTTTTCGATTACCTCTTTTTGTTTCTTAACCATGAACCATCCTATATGGGAGAAGAAAAATCCTCGGGTTGAGTTGTGAGGGTCGGCGTCTGTGTCGACGTATTTGTGGTGAACTCGATGATCTCTTGCCCAAACGTAAATGCGGTGTTGGTAACAAGTCATGGATAAGATTGCCAAAATGATTCTTAGAGGTAAATTAGCTCTGTAGGAGCGATGCGACCATAATCGGTGCGATCCTGCGGTGTGTCCGATTATTCCAACGACTCCAAGCAGGATTGCCCATAAAATCGTTTCGAATTTAGCCGTGGGTAATACGTAAATTCCGTAAATCCCGCAGATGTGCCAATAAGTTAATATGACGATGTTAATCCAAACTATTTCCCATTTATAAATTTTTTTGTTTAACTCAGTTTCGGATTTTTGATGCGTTGCAACCATTTTTAAGTTAAGTCTAAATCTAAAATCGAGTGTTGGTTTAAACTCGGCTTTTATATACACTTCATTTGTGTAAATTTTAGTTTACAATGTGTCAAGGATAGGTAACCCTATTGCATGCAAAAAAATAGGAATAATACAAAAATATTGCATGCTTAAGATTTGTCAAAATAACAATGGAAAATTTGTTTGCGACTGGGCATAAAATTTAAATACAAATTTTGTTTATTTTTATACTGCACTACGTCACTCAAACGAAAAAACAAATTGGATCATGTAATACCAGGTTGTTTTTGATTGAAAACGATACGATTTCCCCCCTCCACTCGTTCTCAGAAAATCTTGATTAAAAGAACATCATACTATTCAGAGGGAAATTAAAATTTCAAGTTAGCAAAAAATTTTATTAACAAACACTGTTCCTGAAGTAATTCTAAACAAATTTTGTTAACAACATTTTTTGATTAAATCAACAATAAGGATATAAC